ACCTCTCCTACCCACTCCCACCCCCTCCCTAGGCCTTCATAGCACTACTGTCTGTGTCCATGGGTTATACGTATATTTTTAATATCCTCTGTAGCAGCATCCAGCCATGCTAAGCCACCTACCTGGTCTGTCCAATTTATTTCCCAAGGTAGCAATTATTACTTTCACTATTATTCTAGTTACAAAATTGTTTAGTCTGCTCCAGCCCTATTTTCCCATAGCCCTATATTCTTAGTGTACAATTTACAGAACATGAGGTTTCTCAAGAGCACAAATGTTATAGCAGATTTTCCCACAGTTTCAAATAGCTCTTGACTAGTTCCTCAATTAGCTTATATATCCCAAATCTAGGTTCCTTATCTGATAGTAGTCCAGAACCATATCAACTGGAGTCTCTCTCCCTCTCCCTGGCATTCAATCATTCCACACATTCTATCACTTTTCCTTATGTGTGGTCTCTCACATCTTTTCTACCTACCATCTGCCACAACTGAAAGCTTCAGCACCTCTCATCTGAATGAATTCAATAACCTTCAAGGTAATCGTCCATCTTCCAGGCCCTCCTTATTCCAAACGAAACTCCACTATACTGCAAGAACTATCTTCCCAAGAATGCAAATCTGATTATGCTATTCCTCTACTCAAAAACCTTCAATGGCATTGCACTGTGAATTCAAGGCTCCAAACCACTGCACCACTTTCATTCCACACTGACCTCTCACTCACTTTACACCGTACGAGGTAAACAAAGGTAAATCATACACACTGTTGAGCACACTGCAGGCAAAGAAAGTCAATAAATATTAGCTAATACTGTCACAGATTACCAGGTATTATAGTCAGGTCTAAGAATGCTATCTCCCTATGCTTGATTTTAAGCATCTTAACTTCCTTCTCTTTGTATTATTAGAGACAAGGGTCAAATCTTGGTTGTGTCACTTACCAGCTGTGACCTTGAACAAGTTATTTAGCTTTCTGAGCCTCAGTAAAATTAGGATAATATCCATGTCATGGGGGTAGGGTGGTTGAAAAGACTAAATGACATAGCATATTTAGAATGCAGAGAAAGAAGAGATATCAGTAAACATTTCTCTTAAAAAGTGTTCACTTAAAGAATGAGCACAGAACTAACTGCTTGCCTTCTTTCTCCAACAAATAGGCAAGTAGAGAGTACTACTCAAATAAATTGGTTTAACAACAAAATGTATCTTTATTCCTTTGACATAAACGCTTATTTCAAGAACATCAGATTTAAGATAATCTTTTTCTGTGCCACTAAGCAAAGAAAAAGTTATTGATATGGAGCCACACTTTACTTCATATTGACTAATGTGAATTTTATAATTAAATTTACTGAGACTCAACATATACCTAGTTTATATGTAGAACTACTGGTTATTTAGTTTGTTCTAATAGTTAACTGTTATAAACATAAAAATCCATGCAAAATATAGAGCTGTAGCTCTATATTTTATGAATAATAAATTCCATAAAATGGGTCTAACTGCATACATATATTAAAATTCCACATATAATAAAAGATTCTTATATATTCATTCAAAAATTGGTCTGATTTAATTTATATTACAGGCTTTCAGATTATAGCATTACAAGAGTTTCTTTAAAATGAAAAAGCAAAGAAGGGGCAGAGGGAGAAATGATACCAAAACATCCGAAGCTATTCTTTTCCCATTTTACCTTGCATTTTCCTGCCTCCCACTGGTTTTGCTTAGTTGCTTTTCCAACTTCATAGTATAAAAAGAATGACAGTCTTTTTTTAATAAATAATGCTGGAAAAACTGAACAACAGCAAAAGAATAAAGTTGGCCCTGGCCTGTGTGACTCAGCCAGTTGGGCGACATCCCATACACTAAAAAGGCTGTTGGTTCGATTCCCAGTTAAGACACATGCCCAAGTTGTGGGCTCAGTCCCTACACTGGTAGGGGTGTGTGCAGGAGGCAGCCAATCAAAGTTCTGCTCTCACATCAATGTTTCTCTCTCTTTCCCTCCATTTTTCTCTAAAAAAAAACACACACAATAAAAATATTTAAAGATTTAAAAAAAAAAAAATCAAGTTGGACCTCCTCTTCATATCATATAAAACTCAACTCAAAATGGATCAAAGACCTAAATGTAAAGGTTGAAACTATAAAACTCTTAGAATAACACATACTCATTAATTCTTGTGACTATGGATTACACAATGGTTTCTTAGACACAGTCCTAAAAGCTTAAGCAACCAGAGAAAAACAAATAAATTGGATTTCATAAAAATGAAATGCTTTTGTGCTTCAAAGAACAACATCAAGAAAGTAAAAAGACAAACCACAGAATGAAAGAATATATATGCAAATCAAATATCTGATCTGGGTCTAGTGTTCAGAATATATAAAGAACTATTAAAACTCAAAAGTAAAAATAATAAACTCAATTTAAAAATGGGCAATGGATCTGAATAGGCAGTTCTCCAAAGAAGATGCACAAATGGCCAACATGCAAATGAAAAGATGATCAACATCGTAAGTCACTAGGAAATCAAATAAAAAGTCTAATGAGATACCATTTCACACCCACTTCAATGGCTATACTAAAAAAGACAATAGCTAAGTGTTGACAAGAAAATGGAGAAATTGGAATGCTCATACACTGCTAGTGGGAATGTAAAATGGTGCAACCACTTTAGAAAACACTTTGTCAGTCCCTCAAAGTTATACACAGAGGAACTGACATAACACAGCAATTTCACTCCTAGGTATTTACTCAAGAGAAATGAAAACATGTCCACACAAAAACCAGTACAAAGATTTTCATAGTAACATTATTCAGAATAGCTTAAAAGTGGAAACAGCCCAAAAGACCATCAACTGAGGAATGCATAAATAAAATATGGTATATCTAATTCAACTTTCAAAAAGAATAAAGAACTGATACATGCTATGACCTGATGAACCTTGAAAACATGCTAAGTGAAAGAAGCAAGACCACATAGAGTATGATTCCATTTACATGGAATGTCCAGAACAGGCAAATCCACAGAGATTAAAAAATTGACTAGCGGTTGCCAGGGGCTAAGGGGAGGGGGAGGGATGGGAAAGGAACTGCTATTGGATACATGATTTTTTGGGGGATGGTGATGAAAATGTACTGGACTTAATATAGCAGTGATGGTTTCACAACTCAGTGAATATACTAAAAATCACTGAATCATACACTTTAAGAGAGTGAATTTTATGTACAATGTTATCTCAGTTAAAGAAAAAAAGAATAAAAAGTAGCACAACTATGGAATGGAGTGTTCCTTTTTTGACCCAACATTTTCCATACACTTACTATGTTCCAGACCTATGCTGGTTGCTAGGAACCCAAGATGAATAATACAAAGTCATTATACTCTCTTCAGGCGCATTCTCCTTGGCATATCAATGTCATATTTCTCAAGAGTGAAGCAGCTTTGAAAATGCAAAAACAGCAAATATAAGCCATAGACAATCCAAGAGAATGCAGATAATGTCATTTTCCAAGAACTATTATTTAAATAGCTAAATTTCATTTATTTGAAATGTTTTTACAAATAATGTTTTTAAAAAATCTTTCTTGATTTGAATGTATTATTTCCTCAGTGGCTCCTGGATTCTCTATTTTTGACATTCAAAAATCTCACAACAAACACAAATATCACAAAAGAAAATGCTTCTTAACACTTTATTACAATATCCACATGAAAACTTGTTTTTCTGTAATAAGTAACAACAGATTTCTCTGAACTAAGAAATCAAACATTTTCGGCTCTAATCACAGATTTTTACGAAACAGAGAATATCTCATTTCCTGAAAGCTGCACGTCCATATAAAAAACACACACACAAAAACGATAGCTAACAAAAATTAAAATCTCAAATTTCAACAGAAACCTGTGTTGGACAGTATTTTAAACAGAACAATAAAGGTATGTTCTACTCAATCCAAGCCATTAGGTATTTTTGATACTTTTAATACGTTATTTATATTAACTTCCCAAAACATAAAACTAAAATCTACATTATTATTACCTTATCTTTGGCCTCAGGCAGTGTCATTTCTCTAGGTTCTAAAATTGGCATTTCTCGAAAAGGTGGAACGCATCTGACAATATCTGGTACATAATTTGTATGAAACAATGGCGGCATTGAGTATCTTCTTTCACCTGATAAAGGCACTATGTGGTTAACTATAGTTGGCTCTTGGTGAGGTGAATGGAAACGTTGCCGTTTACCGTCAAGAGGAAGGTTTTTTTCATCGCTTAATCTCCTGAAAACAAGCAATATACCTTAGTAAAGGTGTAACTTCCTGGTAACAAACAGAAAACAATTAAGAATATATAAATAACATGACAATACTGACTCTTTCAGCAAGGCCACATTATTAGTTCTATATGAATCTTAAAATACCCATTTTCAGCACAAAAGATGCCTTAGAAAATACACCTTAGGGAAAAAAATGCATATAAAAAAACCAAACTACATATATAGAATGTCCCAAAAAAATGTAAACACACACTTTGAATAATTATAAAGGCAGTGTTTATTAAAATACATTTCATTTTCAAAATGGAGCTATCAGCTGTTAAAGTATGTATACTTTTGGGGCGGACACCCTATATACATTATAAGGTGTATCTCCTACTCTTAAACTACCCCAATGTTTCATCTCAGCAGTGAAAACTCTATAGAAAAATTCCTATTTACAGAATCACTAACAACAAAAGATCTAAACGCTAACAGGAAGAAGATAAAATTAAGTGAATTGAGTGCTATATATAAAAAAGGCACTGAGTCCACCTATGTTCTGACGCCATCGGTAGGAAAGACCAAATTAAGTGATATTTACTTTTTTTAAAAAGCTATAAAGATATTGGACAAGTAAGAAAATTTGAAAATGATCTACATTTCAGATAATATTTAGTGTTAAATTTCTTGGATGTGAACAATGTATATTTGGTTATTTAGGAGAAAATCCTTGTTTTTAGGAGGAATGCACTGATATGTACTGGAGTAAAGTGAAATGATGTCAACAACTTATTTTCATATGGTTCAGAAAAAAATGTGGGAATAGAGAAAGAGGCAGAAAAAAAATAATGCAGCAGAATTTTAAATGATGAATTTAGGTTAATAGAATACAGGTGTTTATTTATTATTATTTAAGTTTTTCTGGAGGCTTAAAATTTTTCAAAATAAAAGGCAAGGGGGAAATCATTAAAAGAAATAATCTGTTGAAAAAAATAAATTTGCTTCACTGATAAATATTAAGTTGTTCATGTAGGTAATACTTTTTGCCATGGAAGTGATCCAATTCCTTTTAAGCTCTAAAATTCTACCTGGCATAGAAACCTGAAGGTTTTTATTATAATACTCCTTAGGGATTATCCCAATTTCTCTCTCCTTCAAAGACCCACAAATAACTGGAACTCCTACACCTGGTTCACTAAAAGTGAACAGTGCTAAAAGCATAAGAAGTATAGTTAAGATTTTTTAAACATTAAAAGTAACTTAGAGCTTTGTATTTTGAATATCTTCTATTGAGAATGCCAACTTTATTTTTAAAAATATGTATAAACATGAACTAATGGAATTTATTTTCATTCATGATTCACAAATTGGCTATCAAGGCAATTTCCAAAAATTAAAAATGTGAATAAACTCAATAGTTTTAGCATCATTATATAGCTTTCCACAATGACAACTTTGAAGAACAACTCACAGTGCTGCTAAGCGCGGGACGTAGAGCCAGACCTCCTGAGTTCATACCACAGTTATGCCAATTCTAGTTGAATAACTAATTGCTTAACCACTGTGTGCTTCAGCTTTCTCCTCAACAGAAGACGCATAACAGTACCTACCTCATAGTGTTGTGAAGCTTAATCAGATTATTTGTAAAGTCCTTAGAATAATGTCTACTACACACAGTGTGATCAGTAATTCTTAGGTAGTGTTATTTTTAACCAGACAAAAAATTATGAAATATTTATATATGCTTTAAATAGCAACATCTTTCAAATACTGCCAAATCATATTTTAATAATCACCTCTAAAGCTCTATTATTAATTACTCTGTGATAGGTCAGTTTCTTTTCATCAAACTGGTTAAAATTAATTGGCGCTTGACTTCTTGATAGAAAGCTTTATGTCATATAAAAATTTTCTTTATAATATTTATCACAGAACCTTACCTGGATAAGATTTAGATAAACAAAATAGTAGTAAACTTCACTAGAAATAAGGTGTTATGGGCCGAACTGTGTCTCCCTCAAAAGTCGTATGTTTAAGCCCTAACCCCAGTATCTCAAAATGTGACTATATTTGGACACAGAGGCTTTAAAGAAGTTAAAATAAGGTCATTAGGGTGAATCCTAATCCAATATGACTACTGTCCTTAGAAGAAGAGATTAGAATACAGAAAACACTGACACAGGGATAACCATGTGAAAACACAGGGAGAAGGTAGCCATCTTCAAACCAAACAGGGAAGCTTCAGAATAAGCCAAACCTGTCAACATCTGGATCTTGGAATTCTAGCCTCCAGAATTGTGAGAAAGTAAATTCTGCTGCTTAAGTCACCCAGTCTGCTATACTTTATGGCAGCCCTAGCATACAAATACAGAAAGCCATCTGATTTAGTTAAAAATCTCAATTAAAAGTCATTTTCTCAAGAAATATAGCTTCATTCCATCTAAAACTTATAACCACAGGAATAAATAAAGGATTCCTAAAATTCTTTAAGTACTACATAGAAGTTTTAAAATTCTGTGACAGGACTGATCACACAGATCCCAGAAAAAAAAAAATTTAGGACACAGTGTCCATACAATTTTAATAAAAGATACATCGTTACACAGTTCTAAGAAATGCAAAATTTTCTTTTAAAATAATTAAATAAGAAATACTTACTTCCTTCCTCGAAATAATGGGGAAAATGAAGTCTGTATTGGACTGACATTTCCATATAACTGCTGTAATGACACAGCTCTAGACAAGCTACCAAAAACAAAGAACAGCAGTAATAAACATTTTTTCCTTAAAAAACAAATCAAAAAGAAAAAAAAACAATTTCAGAAAAAATAAATTATTTCACTGATGAAAAGAAAATAAGTCATAATGACATTTTCTCTAACTTCAAACATTTCATGTAATAAGGGTTTATACATCAAGTAGAAAACAAAATTTACAAGTGATATGGGCCAAAATATTACCATACTTACTCTGCATTCTGAAAGTTGAACTGTGCATCTATGAGCTGCTGGTGTGAATAAAGAGCTGGCGACAGAGCGAAGAAGTTATTATGTTGTTGATGGTTTGGAGTGAAAGGTGGGCGACCCAAAATTGAGTTTGGGAACATGCTCTTGTTCACTAAAAGTGAACATGTATTCTTCCACCTAGAATATTTTTAAAAGACAAATTATTATAGCTTAAAGTTATTGAACTCTTTGGTAACTAGTGTCCACTATTTAAAACAATTAGTACCAAGTTATGAATTTCATTTGCAAAATTATTTTTTAAAGTTTAAACAGATCTCTTAAGTTATATTATAGGTAACAAAAAACTTACTAATAATGAATTTTAAATCTAGATTAACCATAGTATAGTATTATTCAAATGATAGTATAATATGTTAAGTTTCAAATTTTCTGATGAATGTACCTTAATAAATTTACCCTAATATCAATAAATCTTTGGAAATCAAGTTATTACCACATACTCAGAAAATAACTCTGATAATAAAAAGAAACCAAGAGAACCAGTAATGAAATCCTATAAATTCTTACATTTATTCCCAATATAACTTACATAAAGGTATAAGCCATCATATGACAATCTGACTCCAATGTTTGAGATCTTATATCTGATCAAATAAGGGAAGGAATTTGTATTGCTTAATAACTATTTATAAAATTGTGAGATTCCCTTCAAAGTCTAAATAACTTATATAAAGGACTTTCAATAAAAGAGGGCTTGTTCCACAAGAATGGGGAAAATGTATATACAAACTAATCAGAACCATTCACTGACCCAGGCAGGAGACTGGAATCTGTATTTATTCTTTTGCAATGAATGATCTCAAAAGGCTACAAACTTACATAGAGTAGGGTAAGGTAACAAATTGAAAACAAGAATTAACTCTACAAAGTAAAATTAACCCCCAGTCCACCCTCCTAAAGCAGGAAATTAGAAAACTCATCTATGGAGTAACTGAGAAAAAACACACAAACACACACATATAATACAGTAACCAGAAAACCTATATAATGCAGTAACAGTTTTCCACCACAGAAAAGTTAAGCCTGCTAGCAAGTACAATGAAGCCTACTACTGAATTGCCCACCCATGCACACAGAGCTTCTAATTAGATTTCTAACAGCTCTCACTTAAAATAGACATCATGAATCGCCGGAAGAAAAAGAAAACTTGAGAAGAAACAGAAATAATGCCAAGAACAAATGGAAACTCAATGTTAAAAACCCCATAACTAATGAAAAAACATTTCATATACAGAACAAGAATATACCGCTTAAAAAACAGAAAGGGCTCTTGGAAAGTGCTAAACTGAAAGCAGAAATTCCAGCAGATAGTTAAAAGATAACATTGAGGAAATGTCAGAAGAAACAAAAAGGAAAAACTGATGAGGGCAGAAGGGAAACAGGACAATAGGAGAGAAAATAGAAGAGAATAAAACTATGTGGTCCAATATCCAACATAACAGAAGCTCCAGGAAGAACAGAGAAAGAAATTACCAAATAAATAAAAAATAAATAAAATTTCCAAGACTGAAGAACACCAATCCTTACATTTAAAGGACCCAATGAGTACAAAACAGTTTGAAAAAAAAAAAAAAAAAAAGATTATCAAGGCATACTACGGTGAAATTTCATGATTTCAGGATATTAGGAATATTACAGAGGAAAATGTTACAAACAAAGGGCTGGTAATCAAAATGGCTTTAAAGCAACAGTAGAAACCACAAGATAATGAAGTCAATGCCTTCAAGTTTCTGAAGAAAACATTCTCAAGCTATAATTCTATACCCAGCTATACTATCAATGCAAGGGAAAATAAGAACCTGTTCAGACATGTAAGGTATCAAAAAAAAAAAAAGAAAATCTGGGATCTAGGAAAAAGAAAATCCAACACAGGGCAGAGACAAAGTAAATTACCCAGGATGATGGTAAAGGGAAGCTAACAGCTTAAATTAGAGCAGAAGGACAGAGGGCTTCAAGAAGATATCCAAGGAGAAAAAACAGTTGACTGATAAATTACCTGATGTATTTGACCATGAAGAGAGCAGAAGTAATGATAGGAACAGAAAAGCAGCAAGTTAAAAATAAAAGAAATTACTAAACTACAGAAAAAAACATTCAAAGGATTATATAAGAAAGTAAATATAATCAGTTACCTACCAGATTCCTACAACAGAAACAATGAAAATGCAAAAATGATATTTATATCATTTACTATGCATTGTATTTAAATATTACATATATTCATATATTATATGTTTACATTTATATACATCACAATTTATTATGAAAGCAAGTACATAAAGGTACTAAATCTTCATTTTCAGCAGACGTCAATTCAAAGAATGAGCTATGAAAGTTTTTGTTTTTTTAGAACAAAGGAAAAGAACACTGAAGCAGCTAAAAAATGGTAGTTGCCTCTGGGGATTGAGACCAGATGGCTGGAAAAACTGGAGGAGACAACAGAAGAGAAAAAGAGAAAGATCTGCAAAAAATAAATCACTCATACAAGCTTTGTCCCCTTTTTTTCAATTCTGTAAGATTAAAATTCCCGCCCTAGCAAGTTTTGCTCAGTGGTTAGAGTGTCAGCCTGCAGAGTGAAGGGTAATAGGTTCAATTCCGGCCAAGGGCATGTACCTCAGTTGCAGGCTTGATCTCCCACCCAGGTCAGGGTGTGTGTGGGAGGCAACCAATCAATGTGTCTCTCTCACAATGTTTCTCCCTCTCTCTCTCCCTTCCCTTTCCAAAAGCAATGGAAAAAATAACCTCGGGTGAGGATTAAAAAACAAAAAACGATTAAAATTCCCTAAACTGGGCACAGATAGTGAGTCCAGGGTTCAAACAGATTTTGTTTTCTTGGTTTTCTAATAGCCGAGGATTTTTTTATTTTTAGAGAAACATGGATGGGCAGCCCAACTGGGGATCAACCTACAAGCTAGGTATGTGCCCCAACGGAGAATCGAATCTGCAACCTTTTGGTGGGGTGACACTCCAACCGAACCACTGGCCAAGGCAGATTCAAACAGATTTTGGACAAGAGTCTCTGACCACCATCAGATCTCACCCCAAATACCTGACTCTCTAATTTGAACTAAAGACAAATGTTACCTCCAGAAAACAATAGTTTGTCAACTTTCTTCAGCAGGCCTTTATCTCTTGTTGCAGGAGATTTTTTTTTAAAGCAATCCCATCAAATTTACTACACTGTACTGATTTTAACTACTAAGAGGAAATGGAAAATTTCTTGAACCAAGCAGGATTCCAGAGAATCCTTTACTAAAAGTAAACTCAATAATCACGGAATGTGTTTCAAGACTGGCAACTAATGCCTTATTCTAGACCCTTTGCCCAGGTTCATACTTGCTTGGCCTTCTTTATTCTGCTGCCCTGACTCAAATCCCCATAAGACAGAATTCTTTTTTCATATGATTCCTGAGAAAATGACATTAAATACAAGTCATTATAGTGATGAATTTTGCTTGATATTTTCATTTTATTGAAATACAGATATTATAGATATGATCAACAAGGGATGGAATTTGTATTCAGAAAAACTAGAATTAAAATGTTTTACTTTCAGATTTATTTAAATCAGTTCAGTTAAAATCCAAAGGCACTTTGTTTATACCTATAAATAATACAAGGTGGGCCAAAAGTAGGTTTACAGTTGTGAGTACGTGCAACAATTTAGTCTTGTATTATTTGTTAACTATTGTATTATTTTCCATATGAACACCTGTAATCCTACTTTTGCTCCACCCTGTATGTCTGTTTTTCTTCCAGACCCAAATAAAGTCCTATACACATACATTCAGATTTGAAGACCAAAAATGACTTAATAGCTAGACCTCACCTATTGCTATCCCACTACAAGGTCAGATCCGAACTAAGAATAAGGCAGACGATGTCTTATGGCCCAGAAGTACTCTACAAAGCTAATGACCAAATTATTCAAGGCTTAAAAGTTTAGAATGATTCCATAGCCAAAAGTTTACTTTAGGGTAAATATTGAGTTCAACCTGTCCCAAATTCCCAGAAAAGCACTGAAGTTTTTGGAGTCCCTCAAAAACAAAGTATTTGTCAGGTTCTCCTAAGTATCAATGTTGGCCTTCAAGTCTGGCTCTTAATAAGTTGGGCCTCAAAGAAAAGAGGAACATTCCTAGGGAATGTAACCAGTGGCATTCAACACTCCCCAATATTAGAATCCTGTGGGACCACCTAGAAATAAGGAAGTAAACCAAAAGCCCATGAATGTCGATTCTTCTTTCTAACATTTTTTGTAATACATTTCAACTCTGATTTTTATGAAGATGAAAATGTCACCAAAATAATAATCTATCATAAACAATATAAGGGGTCACTTTTTTAAAAGAATATAGTTTCAGCAAAACTATTATGACACCAGAATTAAGTGGATCACCATAGAATTTGAAATATTTTTATGTTCTGAATAAAGGCTTCACTAAGTAGATAATGATCTATATAAAACACTACTTCACATTAGCTGTGGTAGCAAGTATAAGAAATTTTATAATAAATAAATGAAATACAGATATTGGTGGTATCCTATTTTTCTTAGGTTGCAAGTTATATTTCTCATTCTGTACTTGACTATGACATAGAATAACCTAGGTAAATTACGAACTGTTTTAAAACCATTGCATTGGTTCTGGCGGTAAGGAATCTTTAGGGTTGCTTCTTGACCCAATGGGAAACTATACAGGTTCATTTGTAAATAATGATACATGACAAGCTGTAACAGATTAGTTTACAAAGTAATTCCTAGTGCTATAGTATTTGATCCTGTACCTTAGAACTCAGAATTTGTCCTAAACTTGACCTCTCCTCCAAGGAATTAGAGAACACCCAAGGTTACATAATTCCTTCATCATGATTCCTTGGAATGCAGAATCCACCTAGTATAAAAATCAGAACTGTAGTGGCTAAATCAAGTTATCTGTCCACTTTGTCCAAATGTCTCTGATCCATCCCCTAAACTCACTCCTTTTTTTCACAATGCAGAAAGCCCAATTCCTAAATCCTGTTCACCCACTGTGAAAACCACCCGCAGGTTTCGAAAGGACACTTTTTATTAAGAATTAAACTCCGAGTGTTGAAAAATAATCTAGTCACACGGTTTGAAACGAACAGTTCTTAAATGACCTGTTTCGCATGGAGCCTATCCGGTACACATCATTTTCAGATCAGACTGAATGCGGTTAGGGCACCAACAAAGTAATGTTACTATTATTGGCTATCAGTACATAGTAAGAGCCTTTTGGCTGTTAATCAGTACATGTTAATGCCTTGTGATAATAAACCATACAATATGATGGCATTTACAAAAATAGAATGTTACCTGTAATACAAACACACAAACTCAGTCTTCAGTTAGGCTCTCTTTACTCACAAAATCACATCCTACACATCCGTGAGAGTTGCCAAGTTAGCTTGCGATTTCAGTTTCTGATTCTTTGTTGTTCACCCTACCGGAATACGCAAACTACAACAACTGCTCTTTTAAACAAAGGGCTCAGAGGGCTAAAACAACACAGGTTACTTTTTAATCCGGAAGTTGTGAGACACATCAAGCCCTCGTATTCTGGCCTAGAGAGAGAGATGAAGAGCCCATCCACAAAGGCTGCACGGGAAAGCAGGGGAACATCCTGACAGCCCTAATCTGTGCACTCTTCCTGTAAAGCAAAGAACTGAGGCAATGTCATGCCCATTTAAACCAGCCTTTAGAACACCATGCAGGGATCCCAAGACAATCTTCCTCTTTTGGTCCTGGACTGAGGGCAGGCATGAGGAAGAGGAACGAGTGGAGAAAAGTAAACGGTCCTAAGATTGTTCAAAAAGTACAGCAGCCTGGGGCCGCCCATAGTCTGGGAAGAGCTACTGCCGGAAGCTCCCACGCAAAGCAAAACAGTACAGTTTCAAAAAAAGTTCCCCGCGTCCCGCCCGCGACCTGGGCCTACAGGGTGCGCCCCTCTCCGAAACCCTCTCACTCACAGATGTCCTTGGGGCAGGGCCTACCGGCACTGCCCGCCCAAGAGCTCCAAGGCCGGCGCAGCGGCGGCCCCACGCGCGCGCTCGTAGCTCTCGCCTCGGCCGAGGGAGGTAGCGGCGCGCGGAACGGCGAGGCCTGCCTGCGAACGCCGACTGCGTTCCAAACGCCGAACTCGGCGGCCCGGGAGGGGAGACGCGGGAAGAGGCAGGGCCGGCAGGGGTGTGGAAGGCTGAGGGCGGCGGCAAGCGGCGGAAGACCAAAAAGTCGCCCAAAAAGAGGCTCAGAAAGCCCAGTCGGAAACACCCGGAAGACCAACGTGACCCCGGATGGGAAGAGCGGGGAAGTCACACTTCCGGCAACACCCCCGCCCCTGGGGAGGGGGGCTGTGCTAGAACGCGCAGGCGCACGGCCGCTGGGTCCCGCCGGGCCGGAGACAGCGGCTCAGCAGCTCGCGGAGAGGCCTGGGACTCTCGCGAGACTGTAGCCCTCAGCCGTAGGCGGCGGGCGGGCAGCGCGGGGTCGAGCACAGCAGCTCTTGCTCTGATAAACGTTTGTTACGCGTCCTTCGGGTCTCAGTCCCGCGACTCCTCTTCAGAGACGCACCCTCCTGACCCAGTTCGCCTTCGCTGTCTGCACAGACTGGATTAAGCTTTCATTGCCCACCGCCACCCACCCGCCGCCAGGGACAGAGCTGCTGGGCATGAAAATCCCTCATTATCGCTTAAGCCTGGACTCAGCGCCTTACCCGAGATAACAGCTGGCGTTCCTTAACAAATATTTCTTCTTATATTGCTCTTTCTTCAAATATTATAATTTCTTCTTGAGTGAGCTTTAATAGTTGTGACGATATTTAAGTTGTTGAATTTATTGATGTAAATCTGTTAACAATATCCCTTTATTGTCCTTTTAATATATGTAGAATCTCCCCCTTCTCATTCCTGAAGTTGGTAGTTGGTGGCATCTTTCTTTCTCCCTGATCCGTCCGGGGAGAGGCTGATCAACTTGACCCATCTCAAATCACAAAGCCAGCTTTTGTTTTCATAGATTTTTTCTCTGTTGTTTTTTATTTCATTTATTTCTGCTCTTATGTTTATTTCCTTTCTTCTGCCTTTAATTTTTTAAAAATTTTTAATTAATTTTATAGTTTCTTAACTTGAAAACGAAGGTCATCGATTTGAGATTTCTTCTTTTGTAATATAAGTGTTTGGTGTTCCTCAAAGTACTGCTTTAGCTGCATCCCAGGCATTCTAATATATTGTGTTTTCATTTTCCTTCATTTCAAAATACTTTCTAATTTCCCTATAGATTTTTCTTTGACTTGTGGGTTATTTGTGTGTTATGTAGTCTCCAAATATTGAGGTATTTTCCAGATACCTTTTTGTTATCAATTTCAAATTTAATCCCATTATGATCAAATAACATACTTTGTATAATTTGAATCATTTTAAATTTATTGAGACTTGTTCTTTGGCCCAGAATATGGTCTGTCTTGGTAAATGTGCAGTGTGCATTTAAAATGAATGTGTATTCTGCAGTTGTTGGGTGAAATGTGCTACAAATGTTAATCACATCAAGTCGATTGATACTATTGTTCAAATCTTCAAAATCGTAGGGAATTTAGAACATACTTTCTGTCTATTCTATTAATTATTAAGAGAGAAGTATTAAAATATATGACTGTAATTGTGGATTATTCTAGTTTTTGTTGTTCTTATCAGATTTTGCTTTATGTATTTTGAAGCTCTGCTATTAGTTGCATAAACATTTAGAATTCTGTTATTTAAATGAATTTATCTTTAATGAAATTGATTATGAAAGTTATTTTATCATGAAATGATCCACTTTATAAATGATCCTCTTTTTTCTAGTAATAGTCTTTGCTCTAAAGTGTACTTTATCTGATGGTAATACCGCCACTCAGGCTTTTTTTTTTTTTTTGTAGTGTTAACATGGTGCGTTTGTAAAGGTTCACTGAGTAATGCATATCTTTTAAATATTGACATATTTCATCCTGCACTATCAAAGTATCATATTTGTTAATATCACTTCCAGTCTCATCAGAAGTATTTAGAAGCTGTCAAGATTAGTGTTGATGCAACTTTTACAAAATTCTTATTTTTTCTTGAAAGCTCAATTATATCAATGACAACAAATACTATCATTTTTCTCTGAACTGATAGTTCCACTTCATTTATTTTTGAGAAAATATTTACCAACTACTCAAATCTAAATAACCAATTTATTGTTAATAGGTATTTTAATAAAAATTATAAAAGCAGCTAGTTCAGCTTGCAACTCAAATGATCCCACAGGCGCTTTTCCTTGAGATAATTATACTTCTTTGATATGCAGTAGAAGTGCCTCATGAATACTTCCTATTTTTTTCATACAAAATATTTTCAAAGATGTGAATTTAAGGGTCAGTATTTAATGGAATTAATAATTTTACTGCTTCATTAATAACATTCTTAAGTAAAATGTGATTTTTTTAAACTGCAAGAGAATGGCAGTGAAGAATGCAAGGACTAATGAACAAAATAGATCCGGAGGCATAGAAGCATGGAACAGACTGATGAGTCTCAGAGGGAAAGCAGGGGCGGAAGAGTGGATGGGGAGCGATTAAGCAAAGAACTTATATGCATGTATGCATAACCCATGGACACAGACAATAGTGTGGAGAAGGGGGGGAGGGGCGAGGATGCATGGATCCTGGGTGGAGGTGATCAATGGGGGAAAAAAAGGAGTACATCTGTAATACTTTCAACAATGAAGATAAATTTTTTTAAAAAAATACAAGGACTATTGATTTGTGCCAGTGGTCTTCAACTGGAGGCAATTTTGCCCCAGGGGACATTTAGCAACGTCTGGAGACATTTTTGATTGTCACAACTTTAGAGTAGGCATGGTTGCTACTGATACCTAATGAGTAGAAGCCAAGGATACTGCTAAACATCCTAACAGTGCACAGGACAGCCCCCCACAAAAGGCATTACCCAGTCCAATGTTCCATTGTGTGGATGTAGCACACTTTGTTTATTCATCAGGTGATGGGCATTTGGGCTGTTTCCACTTTTTGGCTACTATGAATAATGCTGCTACAAACATTCATGTATCAGATTCTGTTTAAACATATGTCTTCAATTATTTTGGGTATATACCTAGGAGTGAAAGATCTAGGTCATATGGTAACCCTGTGCTTAATTTTTTTGAGGGACTGCCAACTCTTTTCCAAAGTGCCTGCACCATTTACATTTCCACCAGCAGAGTATCGGCGTTCCATTTTCTCCACATACTTGTCAACACTTGTTACTTGATTATAGCCATCTTGATGGGTATGAAGTAGTATCTCGTGGCCTGCAGTGATATGCTTTGTAACCATCAAGGCAGATGTTAAAACAATGAAAAGTAAATAAATTCTTATTATCACTTTGACCTCATGACTCCTGAAAATGTATGTGGATCACATTTTGACTATGGCTAGAGCAGGGCATTGCAGCTTACTATATACCAGGTACCTTGCCAAGCACTTTATATAAATTCTCTTATAATTGAAATAACCTTCTCTAAAATTGCTACTTTTATTATCTTCACTGACAAGTGAGAAAAGTGAGTCTCAGCGAAGTCAAGCAATTTGCTCAATGTCCCACAAATAATTCCAAAAACAAGCTTTGAAAAATCTAGATAGCCTGAGCCCAGCACTCTGCCTCCTCCCCTAGCACAGTATACGTCCTTCCTGCACTCAACCCCGGCTGTGGGGCAGAGTCAGGGAAGAAGGGCAGCAGTAAGGGACTGGGGGCTTTAGATAAAGTAGATTTGTTGTTATTAATTTTATATTTGGCATGTGATTGGTGTCTTGAGCTCTTCTGTGATGTGCAGTCATCTACAGCTTTTAGGTTCCTTCATTCTTGCTGTATTAACTTACATCCCCATTCTCCTCTCCCTACCACTTCTGCTATATCTAATGAAATATTTGCTTTCTGGAAAGGAGATGAGGCTAGAGAGACAGGTCATTCAGAGAGAAGTGAGAATCACCAGTCTGCAAGGCTCTCTTGGTACAGAAGAGTCTTCAGAATCTACCTACTGAAGAAACGAAAGAATTTACAACCAGGTGCTGGGAGCACTACTTTCTTTGTGCAAAAGTGCACTTCAGTATATTCAAAACTTCATCTTCAGCCCTGACAGCGTGGCTCAGCAGTTGAGCATCAACCTTGATGCAGATCACAGTTCAATTCTTGGTCAGGCCACATGCCTGGGTTGTGGGCGCCACCCCCGGGGGGGTGTGCAGTCAACAGCTGATCAATGACTCTCTCATCATTGATGTTTCTATCTCTCTCTTGCTCTCTCCCTTCCTCTCTCCAAAATCAATAAGGACATTTTTTCTTTAAATTCATCTTCAGTGTTTCAGCACTTTTGCTTAAGCTTTGATATATATTAAAAACAAAGATGCAACCTCTCCCTAAGACAAAATGATATAAAGATGCTCTGGAGAAAATTACATGAAGCTGAAATCTGCAATTTATTCTGCAGTGTAGGACTACAGTGGTTTGTTTTGGATGTGGTAGTGTGTGAAGTGGAACAGAGAGAGTAGATAGAAACAACTCCTATTGTACTTTGTACCTGTTATATGCCATCTCATCTGGTGCATCTGTGTATCTTGGAGATGCAGTGGTCAAAGAGGCTGACCCAGTTCCTATCCTCACGTAGCTCGCAGTTCAGAGTGAATCACCTTTACAGATTTAGAAACAAAAATTTAATTTTAATGGTGATATCTGAGAAAAGGAATATACATGTTTCTATAAGAGCCAATGACTGGGGGACCTAACCTGTTATGGAGGGTGGGATGGCCACAGACACGCGCTGCTCAGGTCGGAGCTGAGGTCATGCTTCTCCTGAGCTGCAAATGGCCAGTGACTGAGCACAGCAGGAAACTAGTGCCAGCCCATCCCT